TCAATGGATGTCCGTAAATTAAACATACCTGGGTAACTACCATCCAGATAAGGAAACCATGAACTTCATTCCAGAAACTTCCCTGTCCTCCCTTCCAGTCTCTGCTGACCCTCCCACCCTTCTTACGCCTCTCAGCATAGAGTGAGGGGCTTGACTTTTTGCTTTATACAGATGGTTACGCTGTGTGCACTGTTTAGTGTCTGGCTTCTTTCTGTAATGCCATGTTTTATTCATAGAGTTGCATGTAGTTGAATCTTGTTTATTTCCAGTCCTGCATAATGTTCCAATCAGTGTATGGAACACAATGTCTCTGCCTAGTCTCTGACTGATGACTACCTGGATAGCTGCCAGGTTTGATCTATCATGAGAAATATTGTTGTGAAAATTCTAATTCATGATTTTTTGGTGAGTGTGTATGCAGGAATTTATGTTGGATATAAAGACCTAGGAGTGCGGTTTCTGGGTTGGAGTGTAGCTGTAAACTTAGTTTACCTAAAACTGCTAGATTTTTCCAATGCAGTTGTGTCACTTGACCCTCACAGGAGCAGTATATGAGAGTTCCCATTACTCCATGTCTTTGCCAACATGGGTACTTACATGTATTTATTTTAGCCATTCTGTTGGTTATGCAGCCTATAACATTTTGGCCTTAATTTGCATTTCCATGATGACTGATCATGAAAGAAAATTCACATATTAAGGCAAGACAAGAAAAATGTAACAACAAAATTTATCTTTGCCCACTGAAGCCTCCTCCCTCCCCTCTAATGTGCATTATGCATTAACCAGAACTCCCCATTGCAGACATACCTGCTCAAACATAAGGATCACTTTTTATCTTTCTGGCATCAACTATATGACTCCATAGAAGATAACACTCCTTTCTCAAGCCTATAAGGGGTCATGATCACCCACCAATAGCCTTGTACCTACAGACATTTTTGGTGGACTTTAATGTCAAATGCAAATACATCACTTCCGTTAAAGATAGTGACTGGCACAGAACACATGGGCCGGACAACCTGGGTAGACATGGGGCCCCACCTAATGGAAGTTCTTAGCTTAAATACTTACTTAGGGCTTTGTTAATGTTACCATCTGTAATGCTTGTTTTCTGCCTCTTTCACAAGATGCAATAGATGCAATTGGTTCACAAGAACCAAAAGGTTCTTGCATTACCTAATATGTGACTGATCTTCAGATAAAATGAATCATGATTAGGTGACTTAAATGATTGACCAAATACAAACAGCCTTATAAGATGAGTGATTGTAACAGTGTAACTCTAGATAAGGGAAGAAGCAGCAAGAGGCTGCTGGACCATAGCAGACGAGTAAGGCAGGTGGTCCACAGGCTTTGGACTGCTGTCAGCAGAGCCTCTCAACAAAATCCTCACCTGACCTGGAGATGAGCGTTCCTAGTGCCTTGGGGCAAATGAGTCCTGAAAGGGCTCCCAAACTTTGGTTGAGATAAAAATCAAAAGGGAATGGGTCGCAAAATAAAGAATGCTGCCCACCATCCAGTTCTAGAAGAATCAAGTCTTTGGCCACTGAGGTTGCCAACCTTCACTGCACCCTGAAAGGAAGTCAGGACAAAGGTCAGGATGAGGCCCCCTGTGCTCTGGGGGAGCTGGCAGAGCCAGACCTCAGATAACAGCTAGATATCCTCAGGAGAAGAATTTTATGAACCTAGATTCTTACATCTTCCCATACCTACAAAAGCACCAAGACCATTTACTAAAATGTCTGTTCCTGTGACAGCAGCAACCTTCTACGAGATGTGTGCTTGATTGCACTTCCTCTCTTCACCAAAATCACATATACACTGACCTCCAACTTACCTCTTGGGAACAGTCCTCAGAGATCTCTGAGAGACTGTCTCTCAGGTTATAATCTTCAGTTTGGCTGGTATAAAAATTTCCATTTCTTTCTTTGATTGACTTCTGATTACTTTTTTGTCGACACCGATAAAATGGCCTACCTTTTCAGTTGCTTATGGGCCATTTGGAGGTCCTCTTTTATGAAGAATTTGTTCAATTTTTTTACTCACGTTTTTCTCTTGGGATGCCTGTATTTTTGCTTTTTCAATTGACTTGCAGGAGCTCGTTAAGTATTTTAGATGTAAATCCTTTGTCAGACATTTGTATTGTGAATGCCTTGCCTTTTCACTCTCATAATGGTGTCTTTTGAAGAATAGAGCTTCTTAATTTTAACATGAAGCCACTTGTCATTTTTTCTTCTATTGTTATTATCTATGTACTGTTTAAATTTTTTTCTCCTAGATCAGTATCATCAAAACCTCCCTCTATTTTTTCCCTACAAGCTTTATTTTTTAATCTCTCCCAAAGAGATGTGAAATCTATCAGGAATTGGGTTTTGAGGATGGTGTTCAAATCCACTTCGTCTCCCTCCCACGCAGGTAGCCCAGGAACCCAGCACTGTTTGCTGCAGAGAACTTTCTCTACCTCACTGCCCTACGGAAGTGCCTTTGTTTTAAATCAGACATGCGCACAGGTCTGTTCTCTTGGTCAATTGATCTGTTCTGAATTTTCCAAATTAAAAGTGATTTTTTTTGGGTCCATCCACTCATTGCGCAGATACAAGTTTATGAAGAGAGAGGAATTTTCTGTAATGGAGAAGAAATGGAATCGGATTTGAGGTCTGTTGGTGATACTTTGAATATGCCGAGAAAGTGGAAATAACCCACTTTTGAGGAATGTTGCTATTTTTACCTCCTGAGAATCTGTGATAAGGTCATAACTGACAGAAAAGAATTGAGGCAGAGGGATGCATCTGTTTGTCTGCCTGCACATTTATTTTGGGAAGATGACTGGTATGGCCCAGAGGATGAGTATAACTTGCCCACAGGCTGTATCTGCTTCTCACCGTCTTGGACAGCGAGATACTCTTACTCATCTAACTGATGGGTAGCGATGACCAAAAGATCCTGTGCTCTGATTAAATTTCAGCAAATGTGTTCCCACCTGGATAACAGCAGGAAAGTGAAAAACAAAACAGCCAGGTCCTGTGTTCTCCATGAGGGGAAAAGAAGGCAGTAAAATCGAAAGAGCTGAAGCATTCCAACCATTTTATCGCTGGAGGCATTCTAAGGGGCCATAAAAGTTTTTTTAAAGACTACTAAAAATTTCCTCCAGAATTTGACTAAAAACCACCCAGAAATTTCTGAGAAAGTGTAGAAATCATGACACTTAGAACATGGTACTCATTAAGAGTGTATACAATTCTAGAGTCAACTTAGATGATTTTAAAGTGAATTTTAATAAATTGATTTATGTTTATTTAAAAAAAAATCCTAAAGCCATAAGATGCTTACTCTACAGGCTGTGGGCTGCTGCTTAGGTTTAATTAGATATGACATTTATGATCAGTTGGCACATATAATGAGCATTTGGTAAAGCAGGAAGGTTAAGCTATTAGAAATATGGTCATTATTTTTTATAGAAAGCTGTACCTTTTCAGTCAGCTCTCTCTGGCTGTCTCTGTCTGTCTGTGGTATACATGCTCGATGTTTTCAACTGACTTGGGAAAATGTGAAAGGATTCTCAGAGAGCAAAGGAGAATCTTTGTGTTCCCAGGCTGAAGTGAGGAACAGATGCCAAGAGCTGAATGAGAGCACAGGACTGAACGGAAGAGGAAGCCTTTAAATCTTATTTTTAAATGAGGGGCAACACAGAATGGGGCGCCTGTTTTAAGAAAATCAGAGCCTGCAGTGGCAGGGGTGGGCTTGCAGAATCAGGGCGCCTCAGAGAACCCGGGGACTGGGGAGGGTCTTAACGAGGACCTTCAGCCCGTTTGGTAATCAGCGGTACCCAGGCTCGCCTGAGAAGGCGGATCTGGGGCCAGAAATGACTTTAGAAAAATCTCACCTCGAGGGCTAATCAGCAGTGAGTGGATTTGCAGAATACTGCTTAGACATGAAAATACTCAGATGCTCCTTTTCTTAAGAAATTTTGTAGACCTTCCTTTCTCTTTCCCCCTGACATAAGAGAAAGGAATTCTCAAAAACTGGCCTTGTATATGGCCAAGCCATCTTTCCAGGGGAAGCCTGGGGTACCTGGTGGGTGGGCGTGGCTGCCAGGCGGCTCTGGAAGCTCACTGGGTGGGGGATGGGGCTCTCCTGCTCTTTTTAACTCAAAAGGGGGCTTCCCTGGTGGCTCAGGAAGTAAAGAATCTGCCTGCAATGCAGGAGACCAGGGTTCCATCCCTGGGTGGGGAAGATCCCCTGGAGAAGGGAATGGCAGCCCACTGCAGTATTCTTGCCTGGAGAATCCCATGGACAGAGAAGCCTGATGGGCTGCAATCCACGGGGTCGCAAAGAGTCCAGACACCATTGCCCCACTAACACTTTCAGTTCACTTAAGTCAAAAGGGAGGGATGTAACTCAATTCTTGTTTAAGGAGGGAACTGACAAAGCAGAGATGACCTGGTTCTCAAACCAGAGCTCAAGACCGCCATCATCTTGCCAGTTTCCTCACTTTGTATTTTTAGGGAATATGTAAAATATGGCCATTTTAGGGCTTCCCAGGTGGCGCTAGTGGTAAAGAAGATGCCTGCCAGGGCCGGAGACATGAGACACGGGTTTGATCCTTGGGTCCAGAAGATCCTCTGGAGGAGGAAATGGCAACCCACTCCAGTGTTCTTGCCTGGAGAATCCCATGGACAGAGGAGACTGGCGGGCTACGGTCCATAGGGTCACAGAGTCAGAGACCACTCAAGTGACTTGGCACGCAGGCACGCATGGAGATTTTACGTGCGTCTGTGCGGCGGTTTTGTGTGAGGTTAAATCTACTTTTCCTTGTCTCCCTGCCTGAACCTGTACCTCCTTGGGCTGCTTTCAGCCAAGGCACCTCCAAGGGGTGACGGGCTGGCATTTCCCATTCTGTGCCAGGCGGGCAGAGAGCAGCTTGGCGCTCCGCAGGGCAGTGAACAGCGCAGGCAGGGCCTTTCTTAGAAGAGTCGGATAATACAATGAGGAAAGCTCTAAATGGAGAAAGGAGGCTTTGACGGAGCGCTGGGGCTGAAGGAGTGCTTGGTGATGCGGCGCCCAATCCGGCCCCGAGGATGGATGGGACCGGGGGACCGTCCGCTCCCCGTGGAGGGGCCGCTGCCAAAGTGCCCGCCGTGGCTGGAGGTGTCTGCCAAGGCCCAGTCCCGTGCATAATGGGGGTGTTTGTCTTTGGGAAACACTTTGGGTTCTCCTGCTGGGGTTTCCAGGGCATGAGAATTTCCAGTCCTGGAAAAGGAATAAACCCCAGTCCTCTGCTTTGCCAGCAAGCTGGCCGCCCCCAGCGTAGCAAGGCTTTGTTTTGTAGCTTAGAGATTTGCCTTTGATCCAAGCCAATGGAACAAAAGCTGATTATCTTACCTTTAAATAGAGGGATTTCAGCAGAAACACTGAAGCGTCAGGGGGAGGGGAAGTGGGAGGCAGCCAGGACACCCCTCCGCGCGTCCGGGGGCGCCAGCCAGAGAGGAAGCCAGGGGAAGAACAGGGGCGCACAGAAGCCCCGCATTGCAGACCCCCGAGACACCCCCCGCTCCTTCTCGAATTTATAGAAAAGTAGACTGTGATGAAGCAGGCACATTCATTCATCTGAGAGAAGGAACCCCACTTTCTCAGCTAAGAGTTTAGGGCTTGGGCATTTATAGACCATCCAGCTAGGCTGGCTCCTGGCGACTTTTCTTCCCGTTCACAATCTGGCTCCAGTACTGCGCTTTGCTTCAGGAAGAAGCCTGACAGGTTTTGGATCTCAGCAAATCAGAAGGATGCCTTGTCATCAAAGGAGGAGGCTCACCGACCCTGTGAAGGAAGCCACAACCCCAGGGGGTCCGCTCAGTTGAGAGAGAAGTTACAGTTTTTCCAACTTCAACTTGGAACCTGCCTGTGTCAGTAAAACCTAAAAAAAAAAAAAAAAAAAAGGACTTCCTTTTGTGATATTGAAAAAGTTACTTCTCTGAGCTTCAGGTTTTCTATCTGGTGAGCACTTCTTACTTGCAAAGCTTGGAATAGCTATTAAAATTTCTTACAACCTCTGAATTCTAAAAGATGAGCTGATATACACACACCCAATTGACTTACAAGTTATGATTGAAAATATGTAAACTTGACCTGTGTATATGTTAATGCTAACAGTTGTTCACCATTTATTGAGAATTACATTTTAGGCATAGCACTAATCCTTTAAATATCATGTCCTTTCATCTCTAGAGCATTCCTGTGTGCCTGATGCTCAGTCTCTCAGTTGTGTCTGACTCTTTGAGACCCCATGGACTGTAGCCAACCAGGCTCCTCTGTCCATGGGATTCTCCAGGTAAGAATACTGGAGTGGGTTGCCATTTCCTCCTCCAGGAGATCTTCCTGACCCAGGGATCAAACCTGAATCTCCTGCATTGGCAGGTGGATTCTTTACCAATGAGCTACCTGGGAAGCCCCATAGTGTGCCCAGAGGGCAGATACTATAATTGCCATTCATGAGCAAGAAAGCTGAAGCCCTAAAATTTATATACCCTACACCTGTCCATATAGTATGTGGTAGATTGAATCTTGAGATTCAAATCTTAAGATTCCAGAGCTTGCCCCACTTCTCACAATATTGTACTCACTGAAAATTCCTATACCTGATTTGTTCCTAGTGTTTGCATGGCTTACCTCTGCAAGGGGTAGTCCATGATGACAGGCACAATTTTAAAAGCCCACACACTCTGGGCTCATATATATATATATATATGAATGTGAAAGTGATTTTTGTCTTTTTTTCTGTCCAAATGGTGGCACAAGAACGTTCCTCAGGAATCTCTGTCTTGAGTAACAAACTCCCTTCCCTTGAAATCCCAGGCCTTGTGCCCAGAGTGGACGCATTCCCCAATAAAGATGGAAGTGACAACTCTGAAGCAAGGATACTTGGTAAAATGATTTTAAAACTGACAAGAAAAAGCAGCTCGAAGTGGCCCAGCAAGCTCAAAGAAAGTCCACACTGGAGGGACGCGTGGAGGCAGCGTGATGAACTCAGCGCTGCTGACACCACGCTGCAGGGAGCAGAGGAAGGCTCTGGGTGAGTTTCAACAGTTTTCTGGCCCTTTTTTGCATTTTCTTGATTCACTGTGTACCGTTACACTTTTTATGATGCTTTGTTTCTTTTATGAACCAGGCATTAAATTCAAATTACATCTTGAATGCGATTTACTCAGCGCACATCTCATGGTGGGAATATCTCATTATCCCAGCTCATATTTCTAATGTAGATGAATGACCCATGCTGAATGGCAAGTTCAGAAAGACCTGATCCTGTAGATTCTGTCACCCCAAAATACCTTGTGTCAAAGTTATTTTTTATTTTAATGTATTTCTCATTGCTGGGCAGTTTTGGGAAAGGACTTGAAAAATATTAATGTGTCTGTACATTTCCCAAAGTAATAAAATTGATAAAGAGACTCTGTTCAGCCCCAAGCCATAATTTAATATTTCACTGTTGATTACTGACACCACAGTTTCAATGGAGCTTGTGTTTGTATCACTTGGGGTATAAATGGTGTTTCAAGTTTCTGCCAGAAATTCTTATAAATCCCTCCTCAACTTGCACTGAATCTCCAATTGGGTGGTCTGTCACTGCCCCCCCCCTCCCACCTTGGTTCCCTGATGGATTGTCAAGGAGAAGGCAAATCAGTGTGGAAGCAGGAAGACTTTATTTGCCATTAATTTAAAACGAAGTTCACTCCATTTTCTTCATCAGCAGATAAACATTTTGTAACCTTTTTTAAAGTGCAAAGGCCATCTTCTCACTGGAAGGTCTGTGATTCTTACAAGCCCTCCACATTTGAACAGAAGGTTTATTATGAATTTTTTTTTTTTTAAATTTTCACCCTCTTATATTCCTCTCTGTATGAGGTTAAGATTTATTTTCTCTAAGAATATAAAGGCTTAATAGGTAAAACAGAGAGATAGTATTTTTTAAAATGATAGCTATAATTTATAATTCAAAGGGATTAGAATGATTTGGGTTTAAAAAGAAAGTTAAAAATTAAAACTGGTATTTTCATGTCAGTGTTGGTAGTATCTTAGGTTACCTGTACATTTTGTTTCACTATGTATATCCATTATGAAGTAAGACTACTAAAATTCTTGGGCCCATTCTATTTCACTCAGCACACATTAATGATTTTATACCTGAAACTGTTTAGTCCATAAGTTGCCAATAACCACATGACAATTTTGAATAAAAAAGATGTAGTTTTTTATTTTATATGGCAAGGGTGAAGTTTAGTCCTTTGACTCACAGGTCCTGAGAGTCCATGGGAGTGAGAGGTAAGAAGCAAATGAAATCAGGAAGAAAACTGTGTTGAAGGTGGGATGAGCTTAATAATTTATGTTTTGAATGTTTCCAAATTTGAACCTTGGTTGTAGTTCATCTTTTTATTCTTCCATGCTTTTCTTCATCCAACACCCATTTATGGATGCCTGTGGGGTGCCAATGACAGGTCTCAGTACTGAAACCCAGAATTAACCAACATGTAAGGCCCAGGGTGGGCTTCCCAGGTGGTACAGTGGTAAAGAATCCACCTGCCAATGCAAGAAATATGGGTTCTAGCTCCGAGTCAAAAAAATTCCTCAGAGAAGGAAATGACAACCCACCCCAGTGTTCTTGCCCGAGAATTCCCATGGACAGAGGAGCCTGGTGGGCTGCAGTTCACCAGGACACAGCTTAGTGACTAAACAACAAGATTAAGGTGCCGCCAAGTCTGCCCAGAACTTCTGACCCAACTGCAAGGAGTGAAGGTTCAACCGAAAAGTCAGGGGTAAGAGTTCACAAAAAGTCTTGCCTACTTCTGAAACCAACAGCAACTTTGGGGATTCCCCAAAACACCCCCACATTCAGTACTCTGAAAAGATTCACAGGACTCATTGGAGCCTACTGTGCTCATGGCCATGTTTATTATAAGAACGGGTATGTTAAAATCAGCCCAAGGAAGGGATGCACAGGGCAGTTTAGTGAGGTTCCAAATGCAAAGCTTCCATTGTCCCCAGGACGTGTGACTCCCTGCATGGACTTGTGATCATATACGTGGGGGGCTGGCAACCAGGGAGGCCACCTGAGCTTTACTGTCCAGGGTTTTCCATGGGGCTTCACTCTGTGGGCATGAGTGACTGACCAGTTGCCTATGTGATTAAACTCAGCCTCCAGCAGCTCTCCTTTTTGGAGGAGGTTCGAGGGGCCAGCATTGGCTTCCCCAGTGGCTTAACCAATAAAGAATCTGCCTGCAGTGCAGGAGATGCAGGAGATGTGGGTTCAATCCCCGTGTTGGGAGGATCCCCTGGAGGAGGAAACGGCAAGCCAGTCCAGTATTCTCGCCTGGAGATTTCTATGAACAGAGGAGCTTTGTGGGCTACAGTCCATGGAGTTGCAAAGGACCAGACACAACTGAGTGTGTAGGCAGAACTACAACTTGGTTGCTCTCTCTGAGGGGTCAGCAAGAGCTACCTTGTTAGCATAAAATAAAGTAGCGGACCAAGGGGTCCCTCTGAATGACTAAGACTTTTCTATCACTCAGCAGTTTGGAAGGGATTAGAGGCGACTGCCAAGGGACTGGCTGGCACGACCAGGCCTTTCTCCGTCCTTTTCACCTGGCTGCAGAAGCAGGAAGCAAATCAAAGTCCCAGCTCACGTGGCGTGCCCGCTCTGCGGGAGACACACAGTGAGTCAAGCAGGAAAGTGTGTTGTATCTCTGGACACGCTAGTGGGTAAGAAAAACAGAGAAGAGAGGGGAGGCAGAGAGTACCGAGGTGGTGCGTGGTGACGGTGAGATCCAAGACAGCCCTCCATGAGAAGAAAATATCTGACCAGTACCTGAAGGGTGTGAAGAGGAGAGCCAGCTGGACACCAGACACTGGGGGAAGGACATTCCAGGCCGGGAGGACAGCCTCAAAAACCACTGAGTCAGAAACGTGCCTACATGTTTTGGGAATAGCACCGCAGAAATGGGCTGAGAAGGAGGGTCTGGGAAACAAAGTCAGATGTGTGGAAGCAACATTGTGGAGTCTCAGGCCATTGTCATCTGGTCCAAGTGATACGGGAAACTACAGGAGGGCTTTAAGAAGTGAGACACTCCAAGATACATGCTCCCCAATGATCTCCGCAGCACAATAGCCAGGCCATGGACGCAACCTAAATGCCCATTGACTGATAAATGGATAAAGTTGTGGTACATATATTCAATGGAATATTACTCAGCCATGAATAA